AGAGAAAAAAAGATGGAAAACACAGGGAAAGACGAGGCAGCATGACTCTAGTTCTGGAAAGAAAGAGCCGCAAACAGAATCAATCAGAAATTTCAGCAACACATTTCTAGCCCCGGGTCTCCCCTGGAAGAGCCTGCTGAGCGCCAGGCGGGTGAAGGCGAAGAAGCCGCGTTAGGCCCGGCGCCGTGTTTCTGACGCTGGATAAGGAGAGTGTCCTCCATCGGGGGGGGGGGCCCCACACAGAGCGCCCATCACACAGACGGCAATCAGAACAGGAGTCATTTTGGCAGCAACAATAGATGCTGAAGACAATGAAGCAAAGCCTCCCAAGAGCTGAGGGAAATTATTTTGAACCTAGAATTCTATGCCAAGCCAAGCCAGTAATTAAATAAAAGGCAGAAGTGACGATACTGTCACAGATACTAAGAGACTCCGCAGGCCACCACGAGTGCACTTTCTGAAGACGTGCTCCAGCGAGAGGGCAAAAGCCAGGAGATGCGACTCGGGAAGCTGGAGGTGACCCAGAGCCCAGCGCAAACCAACCCGGCACAGCGGCTGTGCGGGAGGCCTGAAAGCAGCAGCAGCGGGCCCCGAGGAGGAAGTCTCCAGAAGCACGGACGCAGACCCCAAGCAGCAGGGAGAAGAGGCATCGGGGAGCGGAGCACGTCAGGATGCTCTCAACAAGAAAACGGCAACCGAACTTAAGAAAGCTACGAGAAAGGGGGCGCCCTGCATAGGAAACGGCGTAAAGACGTGCCAGGCCTGTGCAGGGACAGGCGGGCACCAACCCGGGGCGGCTTGGTCACCAGTCACCTTCACATACGTCATCACATCAGATCGTGCTCGCTGGAACTCAACCTTTAGAATTAATTTATTTTATTAAAATATATTTTTATTGATTTCAGAGTGAGGAAAGGAGAGGGAGAGACAGAAACATCAATGATGAGAGAGTCACTGATCGAGCCCGCAACCCGGGCATGTGCCCTGACCGGGAATCGAACCCCGATCGCCTGGATCCTAGGTCGATGCTCAAGCGCTGAGCCACGCCCGGCTGAGCTAGAATTAATTTAGAAAGAGCAGAAAAGCTTGAATTATGGCCAAGAGGATGGAATACTAATGTCGTCTACCTGGATAATGTAAAAGTCAAAGGTATGACAAGAAGGAAGAGCTGCCAGGGCTGGAGGTGAGAGCAGGAGACGGCAGCAGGGGGGTTATTTCTCCCCTCGCAGAGCGGAGAGCCCGAGATGCTGTCAGGAGGTGATCGAGAAAGAAACAGAAGTTTAAATATATAGTTTACAAAGGCTAGCAGTCACCAGGAGAGGAATTAAAAACAGTGCTATTACTGTCGGAAACGGCGATGGGAGTGAGGGGAACAGTGAGCGACTCCTCACCGCCTGCAGCAGGTCGTCGCTGGGAATGGCTGCGATGGAAAAGCAACAAACTGTGGTGCAAGGAGAGTATTTAGAAACACGGCGCCCACCGAACGCTGGGGATGGAAATGGTGCAACAGGACTTAGGGAGAACCGCGGGGCAGGGACGAGCAAGGCTGACGGGCTTCCTTTATGCGCTCCTCCAGGCCGTTAGAGCTTGAAAGCACAGGCACCTGCAATTTTGACTACATAATTTAAATAAATAATTTAAATAAACAAATAATTTAAATAAATGTCAAAGTCAAGCTACTATTCACTAACCGTATATATTAGTTCCTGTCCACTGTTAATGTTTTTCCACTGCTAAGCTTCTATGGCATTTTATTATAATTTCTAGACCAACAGAGGTGAACGTTGTATTTCAGTTGTCATTTAATTTAAATTTATATATCATAATTCACCTAATCTAAAACACACAATTCTCTCACATTTTTACGTCACTGAAACCAGGATGGACTCCCTTACTTGGCAGGCTTTCCTTTGCGGCACGGACATTGGAATGACGTCAGACAATCAGTGCCGTCTTAGATGTGATGAAACAGGATGCCTGCAGGATATTGTCTCGGGGTGCTTCCCCTCCACCACTTTATGAAATCAGAGACCGTCCCACCTTCTTATTACTCTGCCTTCCCGCCTTACACTCCGGCCATATGCGGGTCTCTGCGGTCTTTTCCTGGACACCGCAGGCCCCGACCAGCTGCGCTCTGGCGGGGAAGCTCCCGCACCCACTGGGCCGGCTCCTCCGTGGCTGGCTCCTCAGGTCATGAGGTCTCAGCTTAAATGTCATCTCCTTGGAAAAGTCTGTTCACCACCAAACTGAAAGCAGCTCTACTGCCCAGAAACAGTTCCTATCATATTACCCAGTTTTATTTTCATCAGAGCACTTACGCTGCTATTTTCACTTTCGTCTCCTTCCTCACGCAAGTCCCGGGAGAGCAGAGATCTTGCCTGTCTCCGTGAGCACCACATCCCAGCACCTGGAGCAGAGCCTGACACCACGCGGGTGCTCACCTATTTCTAGGACAAGTACGTCAGAAAAATACCACTGGGCTATGGACACAATAGCTAATCATTTAGTGAGTAGCTATGCTTCAAATTCACAAACAGCACTGTCTCCTTTTTCTATGAGAAAGCATCTCATGTATAAATTATTTTGTTAGGAAGATCCACTTCTTATGGTCATTCAGGTAAATATAATTTTAGACATATACTAATAGCATATGCCAATTATGGAATAATTTCCACAGCATGAAACAATACCTATCATCTTTAATTTATTTGTACATATTCAAATCTACCTACTCGTGACAGGAAATGATCAAACAGGCGGCACTAGGATGGAAAGAACTAGGTTGTTTCAAGAGTGTGATTGTCTGCAACTTTTTAAATTTTAAGGAGAATAGTCATCTCTCCCAAAGGAACTAAGTTAAAATCACTGTTTGTCATCATATGATCTCGCTTATATGTGGAATCTAAAAAACTCAATAAACTGATGAACAGAAATGATTCAATGACATGGAAGCATGGATCAGACTGACGAATATCAGAGGGAGGGAGGAGGGCAGGTGGGTAGGTGGGGAGAGAGTAACCAAAGAATTTATATGCACATATGCACAACCCAAGGACATGGACGGTGCTGGGGAGAGGGACTGGGGAGGGGCGTGCGGTGGGGTGGAATGGGTCACTGGGGTGAAAAGGGGACATCTGTAATATTTTGAACAAAAATTTTAAAAAATTTTTTAAATAAGTAAAATCAATGTTTGTACTTACAATTTTATTTCCCACAGTCTAGTTCAAAGCTTACTAGAGTTTGTCTGATGCTGCTGAACATCACAGAATAATGAATGACTTACCGTCAATTTCTTTAATACCTGCATGTCACATATACAACAAAAGGGTAAAATAAGAAGGCCGAAGTCCCAAAAAAGTATTTGTCTGCTTTTTTTTATTCAAAAATTCATGATTCTTTAGAGGTTATACAAGATTGTTTTCCAGTCAGATCATAATTTCCACAATTTCTATAGTAACCATGAGTTCAAAGGTTCCTGCTCTCCCCACCCCAATTCACTTTTGGCACCTATGTGTGAAATGTCCCTTCTGAAAAATGGGGGAAAATGTGAATACTAGGCTTTTATCACAGTACTCCTTCCCTGCTGGAAAATTTTCTGCTTGCTGAATTTAGAATAGATTCAAGAAAGATTAAGAACATCTCACCAATAAAAATATTTTCCTAGGTATATGGCTGTCTCAGAAAAAAAAAAATGCTATTAGATACAGCAGCCAGTTCTCAGAGGTAAAGGAGCAATGGCTTATCCTTCCCGACGCCTTCCAACTTCAAATTCAGAATTACTCAGCAACTCTGGGGGAGGCAGCAGGATCTGGCGCAGGCTCTGGCCGCAGGAGCTTACAATGCAATTTTAACTCGTCGCATTCTTCAGAACTCACGCACACTTGCAGGAGAGGTTCTCCTGTCCTCTCAGAGAGCGGCTATGGGGAGGACAGCGTGCTGACGACCGGGGGACGCGGGCCTAACCACAGGGCTGGCAATCAGGAGAGGGTTTAGCTGAAGAATTGTTTTTAATCTGATGAGAAAAGTGTATCATTTATAAAGTCTACCACTCTTGAGTCTTCACTCAGCCCTTTGAAAAGAAGCTCCTACCCCAAGCCCAGGATGCCACGGGAGGAAAACGGCCAACACGGGCAGACGATCGCTGGCCAATACTTACATGCGAAGACTGCAACTCCCATTTCTCATGTGAGAAGGATTTATGGGCCTGGTGTTGACCTCTTTGGCCCAACTCAAATTTATTTTTTAGCTATGCTTCAAATCCACTGGGTATTGCCAAGAAATGTACCCCCCAAATCTGAGTTTTTCAGCCTCATTAGAGTTTAATGGATTTTTCTGAGTACTACTGTTAAGTTGACAAGGGTTGAGGGAGTCTTACGTGGGCCCACCCTTCTCCCAAAACCTAATAAAACAAAGACATTTTTATTTCAAAACAAAGGCACTAATGTGAAATTGGGGGGAAAATAAGATGCTATGACAGTCCTCTTTCACTTGAATTACCATTGGACTATTTCCTACCATTGGACTATTTCCTACCTCAGATGTGGTTAAACTTCTGGAAGGGAGGGGGGAGAAATGAAGGAAGAAGGGAACTCCAAAACCTCCTGACTGAGTGGCCCGTCCACTGCAAGGTCAAGGGCTTATTTCTTATTCCAGCCACTGATTCACCAGTATTTTCCCCCATTTGCAGAAGTCTGCGTGAATGAGGCTGGGGTGAGCAGGGAGCACACCAAGAGGCAGCCTACAGTCTCCTCCAAGGGCCCGCCCATGTCCTCGGTGGCAACTGGCTTCATCCACCGTCGCGGCATTCACAGTAAGCAGCATCTCTCCTTAAAACTTTTCTTGTTCTTGCTGCTTTTCTTGCCGTTCCTGTCCTTGTTTTCTGACATCTTCTTTGCTCTGATTTCTCTCATTAGGTCAAAGAACACCTGGGGGGAGGAGGGAGGCGTGAAAAGAACAGGGAGGAAAATGCCATTTAATGATTTTAGGAAGCAATTAGACTAAGCATAAAGGCACACTAGTTCTTATAAACCACATGCCATCAGAAACAAATGTCTAGAGCAAATCAGAATAATTAACACTGAAACATATTCTAATTCATCAGAGAAAATCTCAGCTCATTTCATACAACTGTTCGACCTGAGGACAGAAGCGTCACACTGTTACCCCCACTCAACAGCTTACTTCAGGATGGTAAAGACTTTTCCTCTGGTAAGTATGACAAAGGGTAAGAGCGCAGAACAGACCTACTAAGGTTGTGATGTTAGAGACACTGAGAGTGACAACAGTAATCAGACTTCCTAGCACTGCCAACCACCAGAAAAGGAAAATGACATTTAATCCTTATAAGTGACACCGTTGTAATTAGCTAGTTATTAACAACAGGAAAGAAGCAAAGGGAAGGGCAGGCGTCACAGGCATGTCATCAAGGCAGCTTGACAAGGAAGCTGCAACTTTGCACTCCCCAGGGAACCACTGGCCCATTCCCTGCTAATCACTGAGGGAAGGGGTCCAACAAAGGGAAGACAGACGCATGCTCAGTGAAGTTGGGGTGACACAGAGAAGGTATTTGCCTGTCAGTCAAACCTGGGAACAGAGATCATTGGCTAGAGAAGGTGGGGCCACTGCAAACTCACAAAAATTTGGGAATACATAATCCCAAGACAAGGGAGCTCTCTCTTGTGTGGCGCTCTTGGCTCTTGGTGCTTTTGGCTCCCTGGTTCCTTGGGCTTTTCTCCTGCCCATGTTCCCTCCACAGCCGTGTGGCCCTGCAAACCCCACATGCAATGGGCTGGTGGGACTGCAGAGGGGAACACAAACTAAGCTGGCTGGATGCTGGATCAGACTGCGCCCCAACATGGAGCAAAAATTCTGGGCAACAGCTTTGATCCTAGCTCTGCCGAAACCATGGCTACACTTCTATGGCAGGACGAAGGAAAATGGGGCCTTGGAAACTCAGGGGTTCAATTCCAAAAAAATAAAGCTTTCTACAATATTTCATCCTCCCGAGCGAGTCTCAGAAAATTCTTTTACTTGGGATATCACAAGGACCCCACGCCCACCAGCAACAGGTGGAGATGAGGAGAGCTCCCCACCAATAGCATAAGGACCACATACAGGCAGGAACATCATGCATGACTGTCCCCGGCAGAATTCAACAGCAGACTCGGGAACGTGGCTGGGGGGCGGGGTGGGGGTGGTGTGAGTCATGAACAAATGAAGGCTCCTGCGCTATGAAACTGGGAAAGGGAGGGAGAGACGTCCAGGCAGGCTACCCCTCCCCCTGCATATCCCACCCCAGTTCTGAGGAACAACCCCTCCTCTGTTCCTTTCAATGTCAGCGGAAAGGAACTTTATCAAGAACTGACTTGTTCTTTGAATGCCAGTGTGTTATTGAGATATGGATTACCATTTGTCACAATAGTTTGGGTTTTGCCCTCTGCTACCAGCAATTGTGCCAAAGTACTGACTATGCCCAAGAAGACAAAATATGCCCCCAAAAAGAAACAGTTGCGATTTCTCCTGAGAATGACAGAGACAGTGTGGGGGACAGCGTGTAGGCTTCTATCTTTGGCCGTGCACATAAAATCACAAGCTGCTTTTACCTCCGCAGGCAGACCTCCTCTGCATTCTGTGTGTGGGGCCGCATGAGCCTTTACTGCCGGCTCGGGCACAGAAAAGGGCTCCCCCAAACTGGAGCAGGCTGGCGCCAGCACCCCTTTTCTCCAGCCTAGCAGGAAAGCACCCCACCCATACAGCAACAGCGAAGAGCTTCAAACATTACAGGTTTTCCTTTCTTTTCTAACAAAAGGTGGAGGAGGGGAATGGAGTGTGTCCAACTTAAAATGATGACAAAACTGTTCATCGGCTGATCTTATCACAACCCCCTTTCCTGTAAATTGTTTACCGATGAATACAATGCTGCCAGTCAGACACTCCTGCTCCTTCTTGTCTGGCAGGTCAAGCTGGTCCAAGGGAGGAAGGGGAGATGACGAGCCCTGAGCAACAGCCCCTGCCCCCCCATCCCACCCAAAGAATGCACATCAGCAGTTCTGTGCTGAGAAGGCGTTTGATTTTTTAGAAATAAGGTTTATGTCTGATTTCCTGTGTGTTTTGTTTTCTAGAGCCAGGAAACAGTTTTATAGAAAAAAAGAGATTTGGAATAGTACATGAATCAACATAAGATTGGGACAATAATAAAAAGAAAAAAGTGGCTGAACCGTGAGCCTACTTCAGACCACACTGAAGAGCCGTAGCTGTAGGTGCTGCCAAAGTGCCTCCACAGTGAACTGCCTCCGACTGCCAGCTCGCTCTAAGCCCGACCTTCCTCCAGGCCTTCCAGCCGAAGTGAAGCTTGGTCACTGATCTCTCCCTCTTCAGGCAGAAAGCAAAGGAGAATTTTACCTCCATAAGAAAGAGAAACGTAGGAAGCGAAAAGGGGGTTCAGATGCTGATGCCACATAAGGTATCACAGAGCAAACACATGCACTGCTTGGCCGCCAGAGTGAACCCGGTTTATACTTTAAAAGAGCATGAGCCAGAGTAGAGCTGACGAATGCAGCGGAGGCACAGGGGGAGCCTCACCTTTCAGGCTGTCTACTTCAGGTCTGGAACAACCACTCTGAGCCTACGCGTTTTTTAAAGGCCTAACAACAGCAAGCACTGGCAGGTGGATTTTCACACTGTCACTCTGCCCATCATTATCAAGATCATCTTTTCATTAGCGGCAGAGATTGAAAGAGAAAGTAAGCTGGAGCTTGGTAGGAAGAGAAAAGAATTCCTGGAGAGCTGACTCCCGAGGGCAAATACTTTTGAGAGGCTCAGTTATAAAGACAGAACCCCTTGGCTCACCTGTGGGCGACAAGGTGAAAGAATAAATCTAACCAGTAACTCAACAGAGCAAAATCCCGACACACTGGATTTCTCTGGGGAACCCCTGAACCACCCCAGCCAGCCCTGAGCCTGAAGGGCAGCAAGCCCTGCGATGAGCGCCTGGGGAAGCTCCAGAAAGTCCTCGCTGAAGGCCCTGGTCAGGTTCTACAATTCAAAGCAAACTGAAGAAGCCAATGTTACCGCAGGCTAACTGATACAAACAAGAGCTAAGTTCCTACGGCCTCTCAAACCAAACAACGTTGAATGAAACGTTGAGTGAAATGACGTTATTTGAGGACCTGTGGTACTTATGTTCACCCTCCCAGCACAGTGTTCACAAACCAATGGCCTCACCACACATATTTCCAAGTGCTGAGCGACACCAAGCACACTCTAACATGGCTCAAGGCAGTGAAAGTACTCGGAGCTGTTTTAAACCCAGGGTCAAACCCTCCCAAGTGCTTCTCATTATAACGACAGAGACATCTGGAAAAATCCCGTTTCCATACATGGTTCCCTTAAAGCCAAACAGATGAGACATCTGGGTTCTGCTGTTTCTCAAGTCTGTTTCCGAGAAACTGGCAGAGTGCGCCCACCTTGTCCACGTTGGCCCGGGTCTTGGCCGAGGTCTCCACGTACTGCACGCCCCACTCCTCCGCCTTGCTCCGCGCCTCCTCCACCGGCACCTGCCTCCGCTCCTCCAGGTCCGACTTGTTTCCCACCACAAGCAATGGAATTTTATCTTCTTCAGCCTTAACCCGGAGGATCTGTTCCCTAAGGCGTTACATCAAAAAGGAAGCGTCTAAAATGAAATGCTTTCCAAAGGCAGAAGAAACTGCATACTTGCGGCATGTGCCAAGGACGCATTCCCTAGAGCCTGCCACAAACCAGATGAGGGTGTTCAGTCTGGCTCTCAGATGCCTGGAGTGCCCGCTACAGATGCAGAGTGCCAGGCCCATGGTTCCCTGCACAAGTAAATGTCCACACGGGAGCCCAGGACTCTGCATTTCAAAAGGGTCCCCAACGTATGCTCAGGTAAAAAAGGAAAAAAATATACAGAGACCTCTAGGATAAAATCAAGCTGAAAGAAGTATCTTCATACATAAATGCTTAATAATTCCCCTGGCACAGGTCGTATGATTTCTTTGTGAGAATAAAAGCTATGAAATTCAGTGTTTTCCATATGGAACATAGCAGTCAATTAGTAGATCATGAAATCAGTTTAGTGGGTCACAAGCAGTAATTTTTCCCCTCAGTGAAAAAGAACAGAAAAGGAGCATCGGAGGGCGCCCCTAGCAGTGCAGTGAGCATGGCTCTGTGAAACCCCCGTGTGTCGCATCTGAGCGTGTGCACCTCCTTCCCCACCCCACCCCCAGTTCCATTTAGACACAGTGAAGGTTACAGCCACAGAACGGAGACAGTTTGTTAGGCAGAAATTGTATTTAATGTGCATTATTTTTCCACACAAAGTGAAAAAAAAAGAAAATACTCCAAGACCTATGAAAAAGTACTTCAAAAACATCTTCTCTAAAAGAATTGATACCTAACGACATTAAATTTACCTCCACTGAAAATAATCAACTATCTAAAGTTATTCATCAAAACCACATATTTAAAAAATTAAATATTCTGCCTGCACTGTGCTGATCTAGGGGAACACATCTACTTCTACATTCCAGTGCATCCCAAGAGGCCCCATCAAAAATGCATTTCACAGCAATTTGCATTGTTTTGTGTATGATATAGGTAACATTTCATACTAAAAATATTTAAATTTTTTTCCATACAGTCAACTGAAGTGCCAAATATCAAATATTTTAGGAAAAATGAAAAAAAAGGAAAGTAAGTTAGATGCTTGAAAACTGCTATCCCCTACATTTCAACAGGGTCAAGGAGCGTGCTACATTTAGAAGCTATGTGATCAATATAAACTATGAACAATAAAAAGGGGTAGTTTTCAGGCTCATTAGTCTTGCACAAGCAAATAAAATTACCTCATTAATAAACATATTGATCCAAAAATGGGAGTACCATGTACTGGTCTCTTGCAGCAAAACCTATTTCTCTATTTTATAGAATATGTCCAGGGAATATTTCAAGAGAGATTAACATTCTGTTTTATGTTGGGGTCTACAAGGTAGAAGATAAATACAGAAATGCTATGGTTTAAAACTGCCAACAGGCATAAAGTAAAGGGACTGAGTATAACCACAAGGGTTCAGATAAGCTCCTGAGTCCAATGACAAAGAATGTGGGACAGCCCTGAGACTTGTATCTAAATGTCAGAGTTCAAGTCAGGAAAACTACCTCTCCTTCCTTTTTATTTTGGGGGTCATCTGTTCTTTTTCTTTGAAGGATCCCTCATCTCAAAATAACCACCAAAACCCTTCTCCCAAGATAAGAAGAGACTCCTCCAACTGAGAAAAAATGAATATTATGAGTGTGCGTGAGTGTGGGGTGGGGATGGGGGGGATTAGGAGAGACAGGACAAGAGTGGGGAGGGCGGCACCGTCTATTCTCTGCAGATAACGCCCACTGCCCATTTCCTTTCGTGGTGACTCATCAAGCAATAGAAAATCAAAAGGCTCCGAAAGGGAAGAAAATAAGGCAGTGTGTGCCTCTATCCTGTGTTACCACAAGGAGGCAGAAAAGCAGGGTTCTGCAGCTGCAAAGAGTTATGCACCCACGGGCTATGTCCACATGCAGAAGCCTCAGGGAATGTCGGAGAAGTCTAAGAAGTAACAGGACTTCTCATAAGGAGCCCCGGCCATTTGACTGACCAACGCCGCACACGCACTATAGCTGCAGAAGGCTGAGACTCGGCCCGTGAGGCCGTGCAGCCACCAGGCCTCCCCATCACTCTCCCCTCTCTCAGCTGCCCCTAAGGCCCCGGCTCCCTGATGCTGCCTTCCGAATCCTCATGGGATATGCAGAGTCTTCATTTGCACCTTAATTTCTCACCAAACTTGCTAAAGAATATAAAAAAATTACTGTGCTTGTTTTTCTTTTTTAGTTCCCTGTCAAGACTCTAGATCTGGTTCTTAAAGGAAAGAGCCATTGAGACAGATGTTTATAGGGAGGACAGATGAAAAACAACAATTGTGTAAGAAAAATGGGAAGGTATGGGATAAAGGTACCCTCCACTGGGCTTCCTGCAAAAATCATGCCTAATGGCTCACTATTTCCTTATAACAAAATAAACTTAAGGTATCTTCGCCACATTTCCAAATGAATTACAGCAGCGAATATTCCACCCTGTCTGGAAGGACCACGTGACCACACTGAGAAAAGGGCTGGAGATACAACAATAAAGGGTGGCCACGGTTCCTACGCTTATGGGACTTACTGTCTAAAGCATCATTTCATTTCATCAACTAACAAGTCTATCTTTGGATAAAGAAACAGAATCTCCAAAGCAAAGTAAACTTGGCCAGGGGCGCAAAACTGGTGAGTGGCAGGGACTCAAGCCCAGGTCTGCCCGATTCTAAAGCCAGCTCCTTCTACTCAACTGTGCTAAGTCCTTCCAGCAGCAGCAAGTGGTGACTCTGACCCCTTTGCTCTGGGGACCATGTTTCATAAGCCTCAACACAAATCAGACTTGTTACTTTTCTAGCAAAATTATAAAAAGGTTATATTAACTCTTAGCAAGCACTGCCTCTCAGGATTTTTACGAACAAAAAGGATTTATATGAACAAATGGCAGGTTCTTGATGGTATGGAATGGTTTGTCCCTCTGAGGGGGGACAAACAGATTCTGAAGATAACTGATATTTAGAAATTATTATAAAACAGGGAAGTCCAAAGAGATTGTAACAAATAGTGAACTATAATGTGCCAACATTCAGAGTCCCAGAAAATTCTTTAGATAGATTCTTCTAATTACAAGCTCAACCCCCTACTATACTATCCCTTCTAAGTCCGCGACCTGAAAGGAAGGCCGAAAGCCTCCTGGAGGCCGGAGGCCATCTCAGACTCACCTGAACTCGGCCGTGGCCGTGAACGACTCGTGCTCTGTGATGGAGAAGACCAGGAGGAAGCCCTCGCCGCTCCTGAAGTAGTTGTCACGGATGGCTGCGTAGTCCTCCTGCCCCGCCGTGTCCAGAATATCGATCTGCGCCTCTTCTCCATCCAGAACCACCTTCTTTCTGTAGCTGTCGGCTTTGGTAGGCTCGTAGTCTTCTACAAACTGCGCAAATAAACATCGTCAATAATTAACAAAGTTTTAAGGGAAATAAAATCTGCCAAAAAATAAATGTCAATATATGAGCAAATAAGCAACTGAGGATTACTGAGGGCCTATACTGATCACACTATGTGTAAGGCACTATAAATAAAAATAATCTCCTTTATACACGTCTGCTCTATATTGCTCAGTTCTACCGTTTTTTATTGTTTTTAAACAAGAGCAGATGTTCCCATTTTATAGATGAAAGAACTGAGCACAGAGCAGAACACCAGGCAGTATTATTGTCAGTATAAAGTTGTAATACAAACACTGGCAAAGGTGAGAAGCAGGAGCTCCTATTCATAACCAAGTATAAAACTCATCTGAAAAGTAACCTGACAAGAGGTACCAAGAACTTTAAATAGCTATACAACATGATAAACTCCAAATGTGTCAAAGGTTAAATGTAAAAAATAAAATAAAATCCTCGAGTACTAGAAGAAAACATGGTGAAATCCCTTTATTACCTTTAAGTAGAGGAGGCCTTTTTAATAACTATGACTCAAATTCCAGAAGCCAGGTAAAAAAAAAATTGATAAATTAAACTATGCAAAAAAAACCCCAAAAGTCTGTTTGGCGTAACACACTATAAACAAAGACAAATGACAAACAAGGAAAATGTGTTTGAAACCATATCACAAGGAGCTATATACAAACAGTCCCCACAAAAAGAGAGGAGGAGGAAAGATCAACAATCCAATGGAAAATGAGGCAACCAACAATTCACAGAAAAATAAATACATGTGATGCTAAACCTACGAAAAGATGTTCATCCTCACTAGTAAAGAAAACAAAAAGTGTAACTACACTGAGAGGCCATTGTTCCCCTACCAGCAACAGGCTCTGGGAAAAGGCACTCTGAAGCACTGCCAGTGGAAGGGGGACAGTCCGGTCCTGATGAACGTGAACACGGCAGCACCTAACACAAGCAGAGAAGCACTTACCCTCTACCCCACCATCCTGCTTCTAGGAACCAATCTACACACAAGAACACACACTTGGCACTGTGTGCAACAGCAAAGGTTAAAAGCCACCCAAATGCCCAGCAATAGGACCCACATCATGGAATACTATGCAGCTATAAAAACAGGGAAGACAACTTTGTATTGATATATAAAGATATCGAGAATATCTTTTGCACAAGGAAAGTAGGGAGAATAAAATATAAGATGTATATGTGTATGTGTGTGCCAAACAAATTTTAAAGCTGTTAAACAGAAAAACTGAAACTAAATGAACCTAAATGAATATTAAATGGATAATGCAGCCACAGAGAGAAAGAATTCAAGGGCCTTTAGAACACAATGTTTTAAAAGAATGCATCCCACTAAGAGACTTAGGACAAAAGTGTCAAAGAAATGATAAAGAAAGTTCCCTCAGTGCTTCCAATACTTAGTAATAATGATATTAATATTTCAAAACTATTTTCTTTATATTGTATTACACATTGAATAAGTGTCTAAATGATGCTAGAATTCAAAGTATTCAGAAAAAGTAAATTAATGATAGCAATGTACTATTAAAATTGAACTGGAGCTGGTATAAGTGGATATCCACATACAAAATAATTAATCTGGACCCCCTACTTCACATAACATACAAAACTTAACTCAAAATGGATCAAAGAGCTGATGTAAAAGTTAAAACTATAAACTCTTAGAAAACATAGGTGTAAATCTTTACAACCAATGCATTCTTAGATATGACACCAAAAGCATAAGCAACAAAAGAAAAAATAAATTGGACTTCATCAAAATTTAAAACTTTCATGCTTTAAAGGATGCCATCAAGGAAGTGAAAAGACAACCAAGAGATGGGAGAAAATATTTGTAAATCATATATCTAAAAAGGGACTTGTATCCAGACTCTATGCAGAACTCTTAAAACTCAAACAATGAAAAGACAACGCAATCAGAAACAGGCAAATACCCGACTAGACATTTCTCCAAATAAGATTCCCAAATGGCCAAGAAGCACATGAAAAGGTGCTCAACATCATTAATCACTAGGGAAATGCAAATCAAAGCTACCGTGAGATACATTTCACGACCACGAGGATGCTATAACGAGAAAGACGACAATAGCCGCGCTGGCGGGAGCGCGGAGAAAGGGGAGCCCCATTCACTGCAGTGCGAAAACGAAGGCGCGGCTGCTGCGGGAAAGCTTCGCAGCCCCGGAAAGCTACACAGTTACCAAGTGACCCCGCCAGTGTCGCGCCTAGACATACCCGAGAGCGCTTAAGACATGTGTAAACAGAGGCTGGTACACACGTGCACATGGCAACATTATCATATGGCCAAAAAGCATCAATGTCCATCAGCTGATGAATGGATAAATGAAACATGGCATATCCAGAATAATAAAAAGTATTCAGTCATAAAAAGGAACGAAGGACTGATTCATGCTACAACATGGATGAACTTTGACGAACTATGGTAAGCAGAAGTGAAAGAAGCCAGACATAAGTCACATATTGTATGATCCCATTCATATGAAACGTCCAGAACAGGCAAATCTGTGAAACCGGAAAGTGGTGCGAGGGACTGCGGCGGGGGGAGCCGTGATGAGGGGTGACTGCTCCATGCAGGGGTTTGGGCGGAGCGAGCGGAAATGTGTACATCTGTGTGATACACTAAAAATCAGTGAACTGTACACTTCAAGTGGATTTTATCTTAATAAAACTCTAACTTAAATTGTTAAAGATTTAAAAATTGAATTGACAATATCAACACGAACTTACGGGCCCTTTGAAGAAAACTCTTGAAAACAGCCTTGCATTACCAGTTAGGAGCTACTGGTTCAAATGATTTTAAATCTAAAAATAAAAATACTGAAAGATTTTTAGTATTAGATTCTCTTCTATTACCCTAATAATTATCTCAAAATGGAGAAAATCTGCCTATGCTTCACAACACTGTCCTTCTTTGAACTCCT